GCCGTGCGATGAGGACGTCGTGCTGGATGCAAAACCCTGCGTGCGGCGAGTCGCTGCCTGGATGGCGAGCGAGGCGGGCCTAGCGGAGCTCCCAGCGGAGCCGCTGGCCCTGACACCGCCTGTCCTTCTACCGGACTCCACAAGTCTGACTACATCGACCTCTCTGACGGTGCCCACCTCGCGCACAAACCCACCGGAAGCGAGAAGAGCTGCAGCGGAGACGACGCTGGCGTCTCTCCCGCAGCCCGACGTGTCCATCTGGACCGACGGTTCGGCGGGGCCGGCACGCACGATGGCGGAGGGGGAGCCCTGCTGATCTTCCACCAGGAGTCCCGCACCGTTCAGCTAACGGTAGCGGCCGGGAAGGTATGCAGCAGCACCCGGGCCGAACTCGTGGCCATCCGCGAGGCGCTGGCCGAGGCCGCGGGCGATCTGCCTGACCGGCCGAGCATGCTGCTCCTCCTCTGCTGCGACTCGCGTGCAGCCATCCAGTCGCTACAAGACACGGCGGACTCCCAGTCGGCTCTGGTAGCGGAGATCAGGGACCTGCTAGACACCATCACTTGTTCAGGCCACAGACTCCACTTGCAGTGGGTGCCCGGCCACGCGGGCCTGCCGGAGAACGAGGAGGCGGACCGTCTGGCAGCGATCGGGAGCTCGCGCAGACAGGACCAGATCCCCGTGGACCTGTGGTCGGCGAGAGCCGCGGTGGCCCGCCGGGCGCGGGCGATGTGTGATGCGCGCGCCAGACGCAGCCACCCGCACCCCGACGCGCCGGGCGCGACGGACTGGACCGCCGAGCGTCGGTAACCGTGGCGCAGCTCCGGGTGGGATGTTCGCCCCTGACAGGAGACACCCGGCACCGACTCGGGCTGGCTGAGTCCGACGCGTGCGTCGACTGCGGCGAGCCGGACTCGGTCCCGCACCTGCTGATGGACTGCCCCGCACACCAGGGGCCTCGGACCCGCCGGTGGGGCCCCCTGCCGACGCTGGGGGAGATATTCTCCACCGAAGCTGACCTCATCGTAGACTTCCTGGTGGAGACGGGCCGGGCCCCACGGGACCCGGCCTAAGCTGGCAAGGAAGAAGAAGAACGGAATCGTAGCGTATATGGCAGGAAAACACGGTATCTTGTGATGACAGCGCCTCACCCTAGGACGGTCAGTTTTTAGCCGTGTCCCTTATCTGCAAGCACATGGATTACCTCCCCACCGAAGCCATCCCTCATGCCAATATTTCACACCCAAGACAGGCGCATGGTCATCGGCGATTGATTTAGTGGTTTTATTAGCGGTTCTAGTTACCGACACCCAGCTGAGCTCCCGGCTGTTTAATATTCCATCTATCACACACCCGACGCTCGCCCCAGACCCGGCAGCCGGCGGCCAGCGCCCCCCCCCCCCCCCACGCCGTGTTAGTACCCGGAGCTTCACAGCACCCCGGCAGGACAGTCGGTCCCTGACGACTGGGCGATAGTTAATGAGCGGCGGGTGAGCGGCAATTAGTGAACGCTACTTACTGGGACGCCTTGGAATCGGAACAGAACCGTCTTGTCCCAGAGCACCTGGTGAGAGTTGGGGACATTGCATAAAGTGTATTGGCGCGTTGATTAGATCACAGAAGACGCTATACATAAGATATGCAAATTATGCATGCCAGTGCAATAAATGCACTGACACGACAGAAATTGAATGTCGACCAGGCCTCCTAGCTAAGAGAAGGGCCTAATATAAAAGAAAGATGATAATTGAAGCCGGTCGCTTAGCAATGTTATCAAAAGCTCCTTTGTTTTAAGCTAAGAGCAATAAAACAATTTATCCATGCACTTTAAAGAACTGAACAGGGAAACTAAATAGGCAATAATGGATGAAACCCTCATTTTTACTCGATGCCTCGATGTCATGTGACGTATCACTGCCCGACACTGGGAAGGAGTGAACACTGACTCTTTCAGATGGCAGCAGGAGGGTACCCAGGACCTGACAGCAAGGTTGATCAAGGACTTGTAACCCAGCTGCGACCGAGTGACATGAATTTATACTGAGCCGCCATCGCAAAAGACGAGGTTAAAAGCCATCGGATTAATCTTTAAGCCAAGGCGGATGAATCAAATGATGATGAAGATGACTGAGGTTATGAGGCTTCCGGGGCTCATGATAGTCAGCGCGGCGACTAAACCAGAGATCAGAAGGACATCTATCACTTAAAATACTGAGCGCTGGTGACCTTGCAAAGGTGGAACTACAAAGAAGCCAGACTGTATCAAATTATAGACAGAGGGCTGTTGTTGCTCACGAGGCGGGCAACCTCCGCAGCTCTTCCTCCGTTTCATCGAGTGCGGATTACCCTACGTGACTGTCCTCAGAAAGCAGTCGGGCTGTTTACCAGTGCAGCCGGACTGTACTCGGCCTCACGACTGACCAGGCTGTCCCAAGACTCCAGAGCTGACCCCAGTGTTTCCGGACCGCAGGATTGACCAGACTGATTACAGACGGGTCAGACTGGACCGAACTGCTCGTACCAAGTGGGGGTGACCTGACTAGTCCCGGACTGACCGGACTGAGTGAGACTGACTGGACTGCTTGACCCGGACTGAGTGAACACGGTCAGTGACCGAGCCGCCACTCACCGATGTCGTGTCGGGTGCCGGCCGCCGGGTCGTCGCAATCTGTCGACACCTTCTGGTAGCCGGACGTCCGTCTGAAGAGAGAGGGAGAGTCGCGTCAGACGGGTGGAGGGAGACGGCATGGCAGGGAACCTGGAGACTCCAGAGTGGAAACGGTGAGATGCAATAAGGACGGAGTGCAAAACACAGCAAACACAGAAATCGGGTAGAAAAGAGACAGCGTGGCATTGAGCGGCATACTGAGCGGAATCAAATGGTTTGAATAGAAATGTGACGCTAAAACTCTAATTTCACAAAAAAAAAGATTCAATTTACAAATGACGTGATATGTTCGACTTCGGGCACGTGTGCTGAGCTACCGAAGTGCATGAGCATTGAGCAATGAGCAGACCGCCGAAGGTCGAATGACGCACATAGCAGACTACGGCCCTGCCATCTGCGTTTCACTGTCACCGCCTCGAAGACCAATGGCCGTAGCTGCCATCTCCATTTCGTGTCGCGAGACCATTTGGCCGCGGCCGTCTCTCAGGCTTCCGATACATGTCACATAATACATCCAATACCGCCGCCTGACACTATCGTTAGTGCGCTAAGACGGCCATCATTTAGTGAGCAAAAGCCAATCGATGCCCGCCGGCGGCGCGCGTCAATAAAAGCGGCCGGCTCGGGCCGGGCTCCGGCCGTCAGCAGCCGTCACACACATCCGGCTGCCGCCGCCGGGAGCCGGCAACTGGCGCCCATTGATCATGGTCGGCGGGTATTTGAGGCAGCCGGTTCACAGCAGGAACGTCTAGGGAGGAGGGAGGTTGGACAGTGTAACGGAGCTATATATCAGCCTGGGCTCTACTAGCATTTTGTCCGACAGCGATATAGAAATGTTTGGAAATAAGTAATACATCTTGTTCATGGCAATAAGCAGCTAAGAGCACGTCTTGATGTATTCTGCCCTCCCGCAAAATTCGCCTGAAACCGAATGTTATACATGACGCAAGGCACCAACAAGAACTAGTAATATTCCCAGCAACAATTCGTCCTCATAAATGTCCCAATTCAATAGAAGGTGAGCAACTGATCACAAATCCCCACCATGAAGACTGAGGAGCCACATGTTCATAGAATATTATGCAAGATCGCTTGGAAAAGTCGCAGGACCAATAGTCAGTTCTTTCATTATTATGTTTGCTCGTGTTTTATCGGGTTCGATGGTCCAGCAAGTACATTACATCCCTTCAAATAAGTACATAGTGCGTCAATTCAAATCACCTTCAATATTGGGCACCAGCAAGCCGTGTTTCCTATTCGGTGTCACGATCAGGCACAAATTAGCCACCGCCAACACACTTACCAAACATCAATCATTGATCAGCAGCCGCTAACTTCTGGCCAGACACCTCAGACACCACTTTCCGCCACACGTGGCGATGCCCGCGCCACCTACATATTCCCCCATTCCTCCCAGACCGCCGCCCTGCCATTCCTGTCACCTCCACTCCCGTCCACCCCACACAAACCCCACGCTGTGTCTGTTCTGGAGCGCCGGACCCCGCCGTCCCTGGGGACCCAGAGGGGCCCCCTGTCCCTTTCCTTGGCCAGCCGCTGTCCCCATGTCCCTCTCCAGCACCTGGGGACCCAGAAGGGACGCACTAGCCGGCCGGCCGCCGTCCACTGTCTCTTCCACACACCCCGCGCTGACCCCCTGTCCCTCCCACACACCCCTCTCCTTACCTGGGTACCCAGACGGGCCGCACCGGCCGGCCACCGTCCCCTGTCCTCCCACACACCCTGCGCTGTCCCCCTGTCTCTCTCCGTACCTGGGAACCCAGACGGGCCGCGCCAGCCGGCCGCCGTCCACTGTCTCTCCCACACACCCTGCGCTGTCCCCGTCCCCCCTGACACCCCTCTCCGTACCTGGGGACCCACATGGGCCGGGCCGGCCGGCCGCTGACCCCCTGTCCTTCTCACACACCCCGCGCTGCCCCTGTCCCTCTGCCGTACCTGGGAACCCAGACGGGCCGCGCCGGCCGGCCGCCGTCCTCCTCGGGCGGCGAGCTGCGCTGCGGCAGGGTGCGGGTCCGCCGGATAGCCTGTCGGATGTCCTGGATGGCCGCCTGCACCGTGTCGGAGGGCGGCGGGCTGGCCGGACCCCGGTGCCGGCCCGCCCCCTGGTGGCCGCCAGGCGGCGTCGGCGAGCGGCCCGAGCCAGAGGATGGCGGCGGAGGTGGCGGTGGAGGTGGTGAGCCGGGCGCCGGCGGAGGGGGAGGCGGCGGCGTGGAGGTGCCTGCCGGAGAGAGGGCACGACAAGTCTTAAACAGAGCAAGGAGTGATGAAAACAGAACACACAAGCAAATGCTATGACAAAGATGCAATATAATTATTGAAAGTGTCGATATAACGAAGTTCATCACATCAATGAGATGGAATACAAGGTGTAAATGATTATAGTTCGTTTTTCTTAAGTTTGCCCCTCACTGTAAACGTCTTTTTGAACACAGCACGAGAATTGCTAGCTGAATTACTTAGAAAACTGGTTGGCGCACATTGATTTGACCAGATTTGACAGACGATCAATTTGATCAAATTTATTTACTATTTCACAGACTCGTATCTCGTATTTGCCAATACCTACAGCCCCACAGGGATAGACGACTTCTCAGGAATTATGTCTGAACTAATAAGTAAATTGCACGGCGCTTAACATAACGTTAAATCGTCGGTGTTCAAAGCTTATTTTGAGAATATTATTCATATCTACAATACAATGTGCGCCAACCAGTTTTCTCAGTAATTCAGCTAGCAATTCTCGTGCTGTGTTCAAAAAGACGTTTACAGTGAGGGGCAAACTTAAGAAAAACGAACTATATCAAATATCTTTAAAGACCAGCAAAACAATCAAGAAACGAGGTTCCGCTATAAAAACAAAGTTATTTCTTCTAGCATAAGTTTTATGCAACACTTATGTGCTCGAACACATGCGAACTATTACAACTTCCTTCGCGCTTTTCAAAGTAGCGAACAATACGCCGTGAGACCCGCCCCTGCAACCTATCTTTGGCAGAGCGTCGACAAGCAATGCACATAGCTTATGGAGCAGAATAACTAAGTTTGCAAATTACTGGCCTACCAGAAAACATCCCTCCCGGCGTTATTCCACGGAACAGCAGAGCAAACAATTCCGCGCACCGGCGCACACTGGGCCGGGGGCCCGGAAAAGTGCTAGAAATTATCTGTGACTGAGTTGTTGATCTCAGTGACAAGCAAACATGCTAAAAACGAAGTGGGGCTGCTTAACCCTCGCCGGACCTATTGTCGGACCTCCCACCCCTCGGCCGGCCGAGGGGGAGGGTTGGTACGACCCCTTTTCGCCGTTTCGCCCCTAATGGAGCTAGAGCCTCGCGGAAAAAACAAGCGTGTGCGCCGTTTCAAGACGGAACGATTGATACCCGATTTTAAGGTCCCAGGTCAACCGGTAACCTCTGAGGTGAAGTCAAAAAGCCCAAGGTAGGGTTTGGTTTTTGGTAAATAATTTCGCAAAAAATGACCGCAGAGCAGCGATTTTGGCACCATCGTGTTCGCCTGGCTCAGGCGCGTCGAATGGTATACTTTTTGTCCGGGTGAGGTCAATTTAAGGTGTTGACCTCGAGTCAAGGTCAGGTCAGAGCCCATCAGGCCACGAACTTAATCGAAGGAAGTCGTATTGCATATCATTCGATTCGGGAGGTCTTTCCGAGTCCATTGGTGGCCTTCCTGAGTCGCTGGCTCAATTTGATCATGAGTTATTGACGAGAAACTCCTATGACCGTAGTGACGTCATAAATGACGTCTCGGAAGGTCAAAAATGCAAAAGTAAAGCATCGGATCTTGCAAGGAGTGCATGGAATCACGATTACGTGTGGTTGAGATAGTTTGAGATCATTCCATGCGCAAAAACAACAGTTTCCTTATTTCCCCATTTACTTTTAATGGTGAGGTCACGTGACCTCGAAGAGTAGCAGGCATTAGCAAAAATTGCGAGTAGGGTATGACAGAAAGATGATTAGTGGTTTGTATGGTATGGTCATTTTTAGCGGCTCAAAATAACATTTCTCAAAAAGTCTAACTAAAGAGCAAGTTGTTGTTGATTATCACTGGCTTGTGTTTGGGGGTTAATAATGACTGAATTTTTGAGTTAAGCCCAAAATTTTTGACAGGATTGTGTGCGTTGATCAATTCTGAGCTCAGGGACATATATTTTATTCAGATTATACGCGTTTGTTTTTCACAACTCCCAGCGCTTTAAAGAGCGCCGGGCCTTCAGTAGAGCGGCGAGGTGACAATTGCCCCTACATCATGTGGTTTACTGGCGCATATCTCGAAAAGTAGCAGGGAAAAGCAGCAAAGCACCAATATGGAACGAAAGATGAGTTATCAGAGGCTAGTATCAAATGTTCATTTTTAGCCGCTCGAAATCACATTTTTATAAAAGTCTAATTAAAAAAATTAGATATGATTTTTAATTACGTCTTGCAGCTGCTTGCAAAAAGCTAGCTTATCTTGCAGAAAAGCGATGCAATATGTGAGAATGATGTTGGCACAGTGAACAACAGTGCCCTGAACTACATAGTCTGACAGGAAAATTTCGTTCAAAACGACGATTGGTCAGCTAATAAACTACCGCTAAAGATCATCATGAAAATCGGTAAATGTGGTGGCCACTAGGGAGTCTAAATTGTCTTGTGTTTGTTGACAACTGACGACCTCAATTTTGACCTTAGGGAAAAACTGGCATCGGAATCGTATTCTTCGATCAATTTGGGATTAAATCTAACTTACTATTCGAACAGAATCCGTCTGTCTGTGAGTGTGTGTGTGTGTCCGCCACGCCGTGTAGTGGGTTCAATTTGTTACGGCTTCAGGGCAGACGGTACGACGTAGGGGGTTGAAATTTGCACGCCTTCTAGGTGACAGAGTGGGTCAGCGCCTTTTCTAGGTTTCGGCTCGCTGGGGTGCACGGTTGGCACGTGGCGGGCGCTGGAAGAACGCCAATGAAATTTTGATCGGTTCATATATCTTCTTTGAGAGCCGGGGTCGACAAACTTTGTGAGCTAAATGCATGCCGATCGGTGGCGAGTGCCTCGCATTGGCGGATCGGCAAGTTATTAATTTGAATGAAAAGTGGCGAAAAAATGTGTTAATTTTCGTTCGATGGAAACAGTTTGTGATACGAGTATACAATTGCACCGCGTTTGCCGCAATGCGCCACAATTATCTCAGGGCGTCATTTTTGCCGCAAATTGCACAGTTTTGTCAAATATGGTCCGATATGGGTGCAATTTGGTGCCAAGATGCATGCTCAATCGCCGGGTGAAAATGCGCCGCGTTTGCCGCAATGCACCACATTTGTCATAAAGCGCCATTTCCGGCAAAATCGAGTAAGGGTAATGGAATGGCACGAATAGGGGCAGGGCTGGGAACACTTTAAGTCTGGTATTTTAGTACTGATTGGATCCAATTATTCTGTGACCTGACATGACCCAGCGGTGTTGGTAGGGGTAGGGGTAGGGGTAGGGGTAGTGGTAGGGGTAGTGTAGTGGTAGGGGTAGTGTAGTGGTAGGGGTAGTGTAGTGGTAGGGTAGGGTTAGGGGTAGGGGTAGTGGTAGGAGTAGTAGTAGGGTAGGGGTAGTGGTAGGGGTAGTAGTAGGGTAGTAGTAGGGGTAGTGGTAGGGGTAGGGGTAGTGGTAGGGGTAGGAGTATGGGTAGTAGTAGTGGTAGGGGTAGGGGTAGATGTAGTGGTAGGGGTAGGGGTAGTGGTAGGGGTAGTGGTATGGGTAGTGGTAGGGGTAGTGGTAGGGGTAGTGGTAGGGGTAGGGGTAGTGGTAGGGGTAGGGGTAGCGGTGGAGGCAAAAAGAACAGTGGCCCGGGCTGATTCCAGCTGGACGAGAGGTGACCTATGTGACCTGGCCTGACCCAAAGTGACCAGGGCTGACCCCTTTGACCCGTATTGACCCCGTATCACCCAAATTTCATCCAACAACGCCCTCAGAACAGTTCTGTTTTAAATTCTCTTCACATTTCCGTCCATATCTATGCTTCTAGACAACACATCGACATGAATCAAACACCATTCGAAAGCAAATTGGCTGGTGCCGCATTTTATGACCACGCAGCAAAGCAAGTGGCGCAGCCGCTTGTCTATATTACTATTTGAGGAGGGCGTAGTTTCTGTCTATTACGAAGGTCGCGACATGGTGCTACGTAGCGCGGGTTACAGATCACACCGTTGCACCTACCGCGCTGAAGTTTGCGCAACTCATAGAACAAGGATGGACAACGTGCCTTTGAGGGGTCTCAGCTCGATCGGGTCGATAGCGAGCGCGTGGCGCGTACCCGAAAAGTGCAAATTCGCGTCATAGACTTTACATGTATAAATCGGCTTGCAAAAACGGGCGAAAATGGCTAAATTTGCCCGACACGGGTCCGGTCCCGGTGCAATATCTCGGTAACCGTGCGCCCGATCGGCACGGGGAAAACAGCATCGTGTAGAGAATCGAACGGGCAATCGAATAGTGTGCGGTGCAGGGGTGGCACGCGCCACGTGCAAGTGTGAGGGCAATTTCATTTCAAAAAGTGCCATTTTAAACGGATTTTGGAATTTATATTAATTTCAGGTGATCGTCAGACGGAATGAGTTGAAACAGCGCCTATTAGCAATAAAAATGTACCGTCTCTCATGGAAAAATTGTGAAAAGCTAATTGATCAAAAACAATGTGGAAAAAATCGCTGAATTAAAATGGTATTTGTCCATAATGTGCCACTAAAAAGATACACGGGATTTGCTGCTTAACCTGATACGCTTGACAATTGAAAATGCTATCATTAGAAAGAGCATTCAATTCTCTCCAAGATCCAATCATCACGTTTGCATGACAAGCAACAGTATTCTTAAAAATATAAATGTTTCAAACCTCTGCAAAACGATTTTTAGCGAAAATTATCTACGCCTTTCATTTGTCTTAAAACTACGCACCTCAATTATAAAGCACATTTGACAGATTCTGAAGTGGAAAGCATGCTTATCAGACACGGGCACCTCGATCCGATGGATATTTTTTTCCAAACCAAAACGTTTAGCCATCAAAAAACAATCGACCGAAATGGATAGATAACCCAACCGACACAAGAACAACCGAACACCCGCCGATCGAAAATATCCCTTTTCGCGTTGCGGAGCACGCGGGTCACCCTAGTGATACCTATTTTGTTCATATTGCGGACAGTCAGTTTGGGGGAATTTCTAGCGC